AATGTGTCCATAGGTGTCAAAAACTAATGACTATTGATAACTTTCATTTGATTAGGTAAGGTAACAGGCATAAGAATGTATTATCAGTTTGTTTCTCAGCGTTGTCAAATGAACGTTATTCAATGGTCTTCAAATTTTGATGTTCATTGACAAAATTTTTTGTCGTACTAACTCCTCTGAAACATAAAGCTAATACATAGCTATATCTACGTAGCAACCTTCATTCGAATGGTACAAATATATTTAGCTGCAAATCGATGATCTAACAAATTTACTAAAGTTTCACCTACAGAACTTTCTATAAGGTAACGCCGAACAGACTTCAAGAAAAACTTGACGCTGCACAGCGAAAGGAAAAAACAAAATCCAGAAGAGGATTTGGTACGACTGATCATCAGCAGGTAATGCAACAGGCGTTTCAGACAGGCAACGAATACCAGTTCCCTCTCAGTCTGGAGTTTGTCGATTTCTAGGAAGAATTCTACTCACTGTGCATCTATTCTACTCAGAATTTCTTGAAAAGCCAGGGAATCGAGAATATATACAGAAACCAGCCCTTTTTCGTTCGATATCAGATTGAAACGGCGTAACGGCAACTTGTTTCTAGTTGCCAAGGAGACCATTTGAGCAACTCACGACTCTTTCGTAATACAGAAACCTAATCGCTACGATTTATCAGAATGCAACTGCTACAAGGAAACCGAGAAAGGCGCTTTACAAGGTGACGCAATATCACTTAAATTATTCACAGAGCAGCCCTAGAAGAGCTTTTAATGACACTTAGTTGAGCATAATGTTGAACTACTAATGTCACCTATGAATTGCGAGTGACATTTTGGTATTCTCAATGGCACCGGAGTTACGCGAAGCGGAATCCAAAATCTTCTCGACGCCAGCTTAAAAATGGGACAAAAAAGGAACCTGAAGAAAACTCATGCTCTGATCCTTAAATATGTGGCCACGCGACCTGTTGAAGTCAAAGGATTTAGACTTGAAAAATTGCAAATTACTTCTGTCTGGGACGGTTACCCTGTGAAATGGAAAATCATCTATGTGAAATTAAGAAAGGCATACAAATGGCACAGACCGCTTTTGGGAAACCGAAAATCTTCCTATCCATGAAACTGCTGGTACTTGAAACGGAAAGTATTTAATCGAAGTTTGCTCCCATCGCCAATCTATTGGTGTGAAACGTGGACCTTAATCTTGAATGCTATTCATAAACTGGAAGCAACAACGCAACGCGGAAAGACGTAAATTAGGAACACGAATGAATGGTTGAGAGCACAAACATGAGTCTGCGATATCACTGCCTGAGTGAAGAAGTTAAAGTGGCACTAGAAGGGAAGCGTTGCAAGAAAAACAACCGTCGCCGCAGTGGAAATACAGTGAAAATTAAACTCGGTTCCAAGAGGGAATAAATAGTCCGTAGGCAAATCACCAGAACGATGACAGGGCGAGATGAAGAAGTTCACTTGGGTCAAAATATTTGAAAATGGCAGATAATTGAAGGCTGTAGCAAAGTCTTGATGATGACTTCTTCCAACCGTTAATCAGAAAAGGCTGATGATCATAGTAAAACATGGATGAAAATCAGCAGATGAAGTTTGAAGCTTCTGCACGAGATGGGGTTCTGCGCAGGCAAATACTATATATCTGGAGTAGGTAAAAGATCTAAAATTTCTCGCGATAGCTTTGAAGAATGGCGGAACGCATGGCATGAAAATGGATTCAAGAATGTGCCATGGGTTCTGTTGTGCAGGATTTAACGAGTCTGCGTTGTGAAGAATGAGTT